TGTGTGGGCTGACCGAGGCCGCGGGACAGGTACTGTCTGATACTGCGCCCACAGTCCACTCACAGCAGTCAGATTTGAAGACCCCCTGAAATCTCATTTATTTTTCTAGCTCACGTTGTTATTCTTAATATTCATAATTAATCCCTGCAAGTGAATTCACCAAAAAAAAAAGTTTGTTTTTACAATGTTCAATCAAAGTCTGAGCATTTGCTTCTGCATTTGGAATTCTTTGTGGATGTCATCCTGGGGGTTTGGGCGGGGCTTGTTTTTTTTCTACTGCGAGCTGATTGGATGTAGTAAAGTAGGCATTCCATTCAGAAAGATTGCGGAGAGTTAATACAAACTAACAAGACTCCTCCTGCTCACTATTTCTGTTTGTTGTCAAAACTGACAGCTGGAAGGGCGTGGTTAAATATGTTAGCCACGCCCAATACCTCAGACAGACCTAATCAGAGAATTTAACTGAAGACAAACAGGAAGTGCATTTCCAGATTTCAATTAAATATTACAAGGCCAAACCATTTGTTTTTCTTAATGACATGCACAGATGAATTGTTCACCACAAAACTAGCAATGCAAGCTAACAAAATCATATGGTTAGTTTTGATTTCATGTGTTGTTTAAATATCCAAAACAAAACTTTAGACCTTAAAAAAAGTCTTAAATTTACTGAAATATTGTGTTTGAGGTCATTTTAAACGGGTCTTAATTTTTCGATGTCCATGTAAAGCTAGCGCTTTGCAGCTTCCATTTCACGTGGACGTTAAAGAGGTAAAGTCTAGCTCGGATGTGCGGCCGGCTGGAAGTGCGATATGCACATTAATATTGCAGCATTTTTTTATGACTCTGTATAACAATAATTAATATTTTTACAGTACAGACAGTTGGGTTTAGGGTTGGGGTAGGGATTAAAAAATACAATTAATTGGGTACAATACTCTGTACAACTACCGTTATTACGTTAAAAAATATAAAATACAATAAATGGGAAATTTAATAAATAAAAGGAATAATTCTCGTTAACCCTTAAAGACTGAAACAGTCGCCCGCGGCTAAAAATAGGTATTGTGCTTAAATGTTTAATAACTTTTGATCCGCTGATCCGATCTGGACACTTCAAAGATTGGCATGAAGAAGAGAGTCTCAACATTAAATTCACAGACCTTCTGAGGGTCTGCAATCAGTGTGGTTACGTCATCACATTTTGACAACGCTGATTTGACAAAGAAACTCGTGGCTTGTTTCTCAGGACAAACCAGACATGATGCATTGACGCATTGTCCCTCCTCCATGCCCAGATTGGTTCAAACTCGCTCTCTCTCAACCAATAAGCAAAGGTTTCACTTTGTAGACCAGCAATCAGCCTTTTGAATAACCCGAAATGAGAAATTAGCTGTAGATTTACGCACGGCTAAATAAAACGCAAAAAAAAAAAAAGTTTTGCATGAAATAATTCTTATACTAAGTACTTTTGCATGCACAACAGCAGAAGTGCTGTTGAAGTGCTGGTCTTGCTGTTTTCAAAGGACGCAAATGACTGTGCGGCTGTTTGCAACGCAAAAGTTGAGAAGCAGCAGGGTCAACACCATATGCTGGCACTTAAAACCTAAGAATGGTCCATATTGAATCTAGCTTTGTTATGTAACTATTTATAGTATAGTAAATATTTATATCTATTTTTTACTGAGGATTTGCACCATGTTTATTTGGACTTTGACGCATTATTTATTTTTTTCTTTTTTTATTATTTTTTATTTGTTCATTGTAAGTGGTTTTGTTTATGGTAACTGAAAATATATTATTTGGAAAACGTCAAACTTGCTTCAGTGTTTTGTTATTTTGTAACAATCCTTCTGTTTAGTTCATTCCCAGAACTTTTGGGCAGATACATTGTCAGTAAATAAACGCACTTGCCTTGCCTTGCCTAGTTTTTTCCCACTAAAAAACGCCTTAAAATAACATTGAAATAAATTGCTATAACTTGCTCAGGCAATGGTGGATGTGGACAAAATTTATTTTCGAAGTATAAAACATCATAGCTTGTATTTCTAAAGAAGAAAAAAAAAACTTTATGATGTTTTGTTTGTAATAACTAGAAAATGCCACTTTTTTAAAAACCGTTTTTGTTAAAATTCTGAAATATTTTCTGTCTGTTCATGTGTTTTTGGACCAAAAAAAGTTTTAGACTGGACCTTTAAATGATACAGATTGAAGCTTCAGGTTCTCCTGTTTAAAATAATATATGACACTTGAGGCTGACTGCTAAAATAACAATAAAACTGCTTTAAAAAATATATATAATATAGGCCCATTAGGTGCCCACAAAATACCTCTAGGTCTTTAAGGGTTAACTTTCCGGCCGCAAACGTATCCAATCTAGCAACAACCCATTAAAGACGACCTGAAAACAAAATGAACGTTTTCTTTGATGTTAGTGTTCATATGTTAGTCTAAAGGTTATCTGTAAACTAGTGTGCTCCAAAACAGTCACAAAAGTAGC